TAGTATCGAGAAATTAATATCGTATTTTATGATGCAGAAAAAATTGGAATCTTTTATGAAAATTATGAAATATACATCGAGAAAAAATAACTATTAATCATCACGAAATAGTAATAAATAAAAGTCTAAAGTACCAGCCCTCAGGGATACCTCAGATGATTTTATTTTAAAATAGATATATATATATATGAATAAGTTATACATTAATAAATCGAATAAATAGATATATGGATTATACATTGTTAATTTGACGCATTTCTGCTCTAATATTTTGTAAACATGCATAATGAAAGGCAAGCTCAGTTGCTGTCAAATATTTAAAGATCTAGTTTCTTATTTAAAAATATTCCAATTCTTGATGCCATTCCAACTCAAATATTCTATATATGATGCTTGTAAAATTGCTAAAAGTCGAGGTGGGCAATGTCTTTCTGATAATTATATTAATTGTAATACTCCATTAAGATGGAAGTGTGCAAAAGGGCATGAGTGGACTGCTAACTTTCACAGTATAAAAAATAGTAAGACTTGGTGTTCTACTTGTTCTGATACTAGACTCGATATTTCAGTTGCTAAAGAATTGGCACATAGTAAAAATGGTGAATGTCTTTCCAAAAATTATATTAATAATAAATTACCTTTATTATGGCGATGTATTGAAGGACATGAATGGACTGCCAATCTTACTAGTATAAAACACAAAAAAACATGGTGTCCAGATTGTACACATAGAAGGCTACTTACTCTTGAAATTGCTAAACAAACAGCTTATGATAAAAATGGTGAGTGCCTTTCAACCGAATATAAAAATTGTGATACTAATTTATTATGGCGCTGTACTAAAGGGCATGAATGGAATGCAACTCCGAGTAATATAAAAAGAGGCCGATGGTGTCCACATTGTATAGGTGTAATCCCTCATACTCTTGAAGATGCCAAACAAATCGCATATAATAGAAATGGGAAATGTCTTTCAACCGAATATAAAAATTGTGACACTAAATTATTATGGTGCTGTGTAAAAGGTCATAGGTGGTACGCAACTTTTAATAAAGTAAATAAACATAATACATGGTGCCCATATTGCGTAGGTAACGTTCGGTATACTCTTGAAGTTGCTAAACAAATTGCTTTTAGCCGAAATGGGGAATGTCTTTCTACAGAGTATATTAATACCCGTTCAGATTTGTTATGGAAATGTACTAATGGACATTTATGGAATGCACCACTTTTTAATATAAAAGTTTTAGGTTCTTGGTGTCCCTTTTGTCGGAATAAGTGTGAAAATCTTTGCCGTGAAATTGTTACTAAATATTTAGGGTCGCCTTCTAATATTCGTCGACCAGATTTTTTAAAAACATATGATCATCCTCTCGGATTGGAACTTGATATTTATTATCCAGAATTTGGATTAGCTATAGAAGTACAGGGGCAACAGCATGAAAAATATATCGAATTCTTCCATAAAGGCAATCCCGATAATTTTATCAAACAACAAGAGCGGGATCATCTCAAGAAAGAATTGTGCGAAGAAAACTGGATCGTTTTAAGATATGTCTGGTATTACGAAGACCCATATATAGTTATTCCAGAGCATCTTCGAGAATTGGGCCTTATTGAGTAAGTTAAAACTTTAAATTGTTCGTATTTTATACACGTGATGCATTTTTAGGCTGTTCGTACAATTATACTGTTTTTTAGACGATAATTAACAATTCATGGCTTAGATATACACGTTAAAAATAGAAGCAATTCGGACAAAACTTTATTATTTTATTATGCTAAATTATTAAGAGTTTCTGTATATTAAAATTAGACAAAAAGTACATTGCATATACATCTATCACTTTTGTCTTTTTTTTACTTTTTCTGGTTGTCTTTTTTTACTTTTTCTGGAGTAGTCGTGGGTTTAGCGAGTTGCACAGTTCTGGGTGGAGTAGCAGGACGCGAAAGGGGCTGAGTAATTTCTTGTAAAAACGTTTCATTCTCGGGTTCATTTTTTAATACTTCGATACAACGTTTAATTCGTAACTTGGCCTGAAAAATATTTGTGACCAAAATGATAAGCTCCATTACGTCACCAAGATGCAGGGGAATACTTCTTGTATCATCTTTTCTGAGGCGTAAACAGGAACCGCCCCCATAATCCATTAAAAGCTGTTGCAATTGGAGTCGTGAATGCAGTAATCCGACTATCTCGATTTTCTTGACTACATCTTCATTACGTTTTGCCAAACTTGTTTGTTGATGAAATATGTCCTTCAAAAGTTTCGAGAGTTTTAAAGAATCCCCCAAATGTTTTCTATCGTGTGGTCCTTGACACGTTTTTGCGACTTCGATTCCCCCATACTCGTGACTATTAACTGTATTTTGAAAAATGCCATCGATCTTATGTCCAAACGCCTTCCTTTGCCCTTTGGCCCGATACATCCCATCATCGTTTACTCTGTTGCTTGATGCAATGCTACATTTCTCACCACGAACAAGTTCTACATCGGAATATTTAAGAATGCTTTATCAATTAATATACTCCAAATATTGGTTGCATACCATCCCTCTGTATGTGGTTGCATCAATCGGTTCTTTGGTGATTCATATTCATCCAACAAATAAGTAAAAACGAGGTGTACGTATTGGTAATTGAAATGTTGTTCTGGGTTATATGTTGTCGTTAGCCAAGGGTTCATGACATGTGCTCGCATTTCAGAAATAGTTTTCTTTTTATACTTAAGCAAATGTTCCACCAAATTCTTGTCAATACTTGGTACTGCTTTTTTATTGGCGTTCGTGATTTCTTCCCATTCTTCTTCGGTAAACAGATTCTTAATGTCATCATCAGATGTATCGACAATAAAAGAATGGGCCGATTGCTCATATTCCAATTTTGATGCGTACACATAAAGTACGTCTTCGACATTTCTTCCTGAAGACAAACGCCATTTTCTATCCTCCATAATGTTTTGATATGATTTTTCATGAGATGGCCAACGTGACGGTTCTTTATTGGAAGTGCTGATAATCGGTACAATAATTGTAGGCGTCCCAAATTGTTCAAGATTTTCATCATTCTTATTTTCTAATGTTGTATCACTTGAATCGCTGGTAGATTCTGTTTGGCTCTTCAGATCAGTTGAGACATTTTTCGTTGTTTTTTCAGATGAATCAGAGGATGACTTCTGTGTCAAAGCTACTAATACTGCATCATAAAGGAGAGGTTAATTCATAATTCAACATATAATGTAAATGAGTTTGATTATATTACCTGGTTCTATAGTTTCTCGTGTAGTATTGGATAACTCTGTAGGGTCAACTTGTTCATCAATTTCATTTAAATGGGGTTTAACAACAGATCGCCTTTTTATCTGAATTGAAAAAAATGTCAGACACTAAGTTTCAAAGGAACTGAAACGTGTTGGCATTCCTCAACACCAGCTGTTGTTCTTTTTGCTTACTTACTCTTCTCTTTTCAATACAATCAGAATCCGACGATTCCTCTGAACTTTCTTCATAATAAAATATAGGATCCATTTCTCTGAGAACCATTCTTGTCGCAGATGATTCGTCCTCCTAAAGTGAAGTCAGAAATTACTTCAGTCTAACAACTTTGAAGTCAATGATTATGCTTTTAACTAGATTCACCTTTTCTTTGACTTTTGTACTTCGCCCGCGTTTAATACATGAGGTATTCGTTGCATAATTTCCATTTGATGTTGTTCCATTATTCAAATAGTCTCCGTAAAAGTTAATTGAAGTTCCACTGCCAGATGTACGATCCTTGTCCCAATTTCAAGCAAGAATACGATCTGGCCGAGAACCCTAGCATGTAAAATTGTAAGTTAGTAATATTCTTGATTAGTAATTTTAAAAAAAACACTTCCTATTTCTATCCCACCAGGTCGACTTTGAGCCTTGAACGTAAGACAATCTTCGAGATTGCCTCCGCCCCAGTGGGGTTAGTGTTAGGTCGACTTCGAGCCTTGAACGTAAGACAATCTTCGAGATTGCCCCAGCCCCAACACTAACTTCGTAGCTCGCCTTCGAGGCTTGAATGATACGAGACCTTCGAGGTCCCGCACACGCTACCAAATTCTCAATATTTTTTAACTAAAAATAAAAAACACATTCACCTCTCTATATCTTGCAAGTAACTCCTCTGCCCGACTTCTCCTTTGTCCTTTACTGGTATTAGCTATTGTTTCAAGAGATTTAACATAAACACTCGTTTTATCACCTAAGTCTTCAAATTCGCATTCCCGTAGGAAGTCTGTAATATTCCACATAGAAAATTTCCGATTAAAAAATTTATGAATTTGGTTTTTAGACATGGTTGATTTGAAGCGTGCACAAGTTAAAAAAAATTTTAAAGAAAAAGTCGCGTAAAAAAAATTAAGTATACTATGATCAATGTTACGCACACAATATGTTAACGGGCGCAGTAATCACATGATAATAAACAGAATATATTATTATTTTCATAAATAAGATTTGCTCATAGGGATCAATAATTATCATTATATTAATATAAACACACTCATATTTTTGAGCTGACTGATCCATGTAAAAATAATAAGTTCAACTTTGCATGTAAAAAATAACTATTAATCATCACAAAATAGCAATAAATAAAGTCTAAATTACTAGCCCTCGGGAATACTTAAGATGATTTTATTTTAAAATAGATATATGAATAAGTTATACATAAATAAATAGATATATTAATCGAATAAATGGATATGTGTATTATACATTATTAACTTGTCACATTTCTTCTCTAACTGTCCATAATAATTGATAATGTAAAGCTAATTCTTTGGCCGTCATACCATCAGGGTGATACATATATTCGAGCCATTTTTGTGCTATGATATTTACAGCTCGAATCTTTTTTCCAACCTCTCTTGCACGTTTGATTTTTATGCTAGCATTATGTTCCCACAACTCATATCGGTGTAATGCATACTCACTATTGAAATCATATCCTGAAATAGATTTTTGTTTGATTTCCAAGTACTTATCATAATTTACACTACAGTATTTATTACCGGTACATGAAGATCCCCAATGCCTCTCCATTCCTATATGGTTATAATTTCCTATATTTTTGATTTGTTGACCTGTATATATCAACTGATCACAGGAGAAACAGATAGCAATTCCAATTTCAGGCACATAGCTATCATAATTTCCTCAATATTTATTCCAAAGTTCTATTAATTTCCTAGCTTCAAGATATTTTTTACTTTGAGTAGGTAAAAGATCATTCTCTCTAAAATACCGTAAGTGAGGCCAAATTCGATTCATCCATTCACTGGGTGTTTCATTATCACGAACTTGTGGCATTTTACAATATTCATACCATTCATTATCGGTACAATTGGTTCCACGTAAATCGCTTACATTAACCATTTTATATGACTTATTTGTAGTGATTATGGAAGTTATATGTGATTTATATCGTATTTAGGAAATTTAGATCTATTAGATTTAATAACTTTATACATTATGAATATGGGATTCAATTTTTGTTGATTTAGGTTTACGCTTAAAAGATAAAGAAGTTGTTTCGATATATAAGGACGCAGAATTGATAACGAATCATTTTTACTAATAATTATTATGTATTTATTATATAATGTCTGAATTATGTGAAAAACTATCTCAATATATAAGCTTTGAGCCTGAGGAAATTCACCTCCCCATAATAGAAGAGGATAAATAGCTTTTTCAGGAATTAATAACAGGTCAAGAGGAGATGATAGATATTGTAATAAATGAGTATCGATTTCCTTTTTTCTCTCAAGTTCGAAAAAAGATATACAGTTAACTTGCTAAAGATAATCATATATTTGAGAAACTATTATTATATACTGTTAACTAAATATATCTGACTTCGAGCATATAATGTGAGAAGGCGGGATATTATCAAGAAAGGTTTTAGCTCATATTGAAAAAAGATTCGAGGATTTACCACTTGCACCAGTGATTATATTCGATTAGATAATTTGTGTAACTTGATATGTTTGCTAAAATAATTAACCTACCATGTGATATATGCCATAGAAGAAATTCGAATGTAATAGAACCTGCATGCATCATTAGGTTATGTGATACACCGATTACTAAATTTAATTAGTGCCCCTTACACCCTGCATATCTATGTGAAAAATTTCTCAAAAGTAAATATATAACATCATTTTTTATTCTGCTAACTTCATATTTATATTTACCGCAAAACTAATCTGATATGTTGTACTTTTTACATATAGGAATATCGATAACCTGGTTTGAATAATCGACTCGAGATATATACATACCCTTTGTTCTTGTGCATATGTTATTTTTTTCCTAATCTATTCTTTGGTGAAATGACGAAAAGCGGTAAAAGGAAAGTATCGTGAACTTTTTTACCTATAATCAAATAACTGACTCTGGAACATATACATATTCTTTGTTATCGTGCATATACCGATTTCTTAATTCATAAGT